TTCATGCATGTTGCATGTTCATCATGTTCTTGATGTTTTATTTGAAAATGGTGTTTAATTGACTCACCCTTGGACTTTGATTTTACAAATTGATCTTCAAAACATGTTATATTATGAGTTTAAAGTGTTTTTCCAGAAAATGGGCCCAAGAGGTTGAGTTTTGATGCATTAAAGTTGAGTTTTGAGCTTGAGGTTCAAATCTGGAAATTCCAGATTTTGGACTCACGCTCGAGCGAGGAACTCCACGCTCAAGCGTACGCTTTGTGTTCATGCAGTCCGCTCGAGCGAGGAAAGTGGCGCTCGAGCGTGAAATGCGTGTATCCAGTACTTTGCACGTGTTTACAGTCCGCTCGAGCGAGAGAGTTCACGCTCGAACGAGGACTTGTGTCTTACGCTCGAGCGTGGATTGAGCGCCCGTCGAACGTGATTTTTGTGCATCCAGTATTTTTACTGTAGCTTATAATCCGCTAGAGCGATAGAAGTCGCGCTCGAGCGAAGCTCCTTTGTCTGCATGTCCGCTCGAGTGTAGAAAGCTACGCTCGAGCGAGACCCCTGTTTTCTGAAAATCCTGAAAAGTGTTTTAAAGTGCATCTTTGCATCCTCATTCCATCCTAGGCATTCCTAGGCCTAGTTTAAGGCATCTTAATGAGGATATTGATGTAAAACCACACCGAGGCAAATTAGGGATTAAGTTATTATTTCCCAACTGTGTAGCTTAGTGTGTGTTCGTTCTGTAACTACGTAGGGTTGGCATCCGAGGACGCTCTAGTTGCTTATAACCCAGTGCTTTGTGAGTAACAATGTTGTAAAGATATGTTCAATTGAGATTATCTTCTGAGCAAATGACTGTACTGCTTTATGAAATGACACTGTTTACTGAATGAATGTTTTTCCTATTTGTGAACTGTATTTGTGGCATCCATAGCAATTTACTATTACTGAACTGTTACTGCTACTGTTACAGAGATCTCTGTCGGTTCCTATGTTTGGAACCACTACTGTTTACTGATATGATGGCCATCATTGACTGCTCGGTCTGTTAAGACCTACTGTACTGTTTTGCTATTGGATGTACCACATATGACTATTATAGTTTCTGAATTACTGTTGTGGCATGAATTATGAGCCACAAACTGAATGACTGATATACTGATAAATGACTGTTTTCAATACTGAAAGGACATTCATTCTTAACCTCTTTACACATATGTTATTCACTGGGCTTTAGCTTACTGTTTATATATATATGTAGGTGTTCAGGCATCGGATCGAAGCTAGGGGCGTGGGGGTTAAACTCTCTTTTTGTCAAGCCAACCAACGAGCCTCACTGCGAGGTTCCAAGACCTTCAAGCTAGGGCTTTTTGGGGTATTTTAGATTCCCCATTTCTGTATCTATTTGTATAGACTGTATATACTGTTACTGTACTGTTATGGTAGGGACTTGGTCCCTAACCTGTATGATTGTATATGAATGTATATGTACTGTTTATGTGGATATGTATAAAAAATCTTTTTGCGTACAGACTGTCACAGCTCATTGGACATCTTTAATTACTGTTTTGGCTTCCGCCAGCCCCTGTACTCTGTATTATTGTTATTACTATTAAGCAGGCCTTCGGTAATCTCGGATTACTGGCCAGTTACGGTGCTAAATCCATAGGGGCGGGTTTGGGTTGTGACAAATTGTTTATGGAAAAGTACTTCCTAAACTCAGTAAGGCAGGAGATGATCCAAGAATTTCTCCAACTGAAACAAAGAGGCATGACTGTGACACAGTATGCCAATCGATTTGAGGCCCTTTCTCGCCATACCACAGCTATAGTGGCAAATGAAATAGATAAGGTAAGGCGCTTCGAGTGGGGACTCGACTCGGGGATCCGAGACAAGCTGGTTGCAGTGCAGCTACCTACTTATGCACAGGTAGTAAATAGGGCTCTTACCTTAGAAAGAGAAAAGATGGACACTGCAAGGACTCAAGGTCAGCAGTCTAGAGCCAACTAGCCAAGAAGTAGAGGACCTTCAAGGAACAACAGGACCCCTGCTGCCTCGGCACCTTATGCTAGGGGGCCACAACAACAGCAAGGGTACAATCCTGAACAGTGTAATAGGGAAGGGGCTAGAAGGTGTTATGAATATGGCCAAGAAGGGTATTTTAGAAACAATTGCCCTCTGAGGTCAGGCTACTACATCAATCAAGGGGAGGCCACTCAACGAAACAAATGCGTACCAACTCAGGGAACGCGAGCTGCGCAAAATTCCCAATCCGGCAGAGGTCAACTGCCAGCTAATCGGAATGTGGGGCAATCAAGGACTCAACAACCAGGAGATGCCAATGGAAAGAAACCTTGGGTGCCAAACCAGGGTGCCACCGGAAGAGTCTTTGCACTCCAAGAAGAAGAAGACGATGGAAATCCTTCAGTGATTCAAGGTATACTCATCCTTATGAACTCTTGTGTACAAGTCTTGTTTGATTCTAGAGCATCACCACACTTTTTCATATCTGCTTCATGTGTTACAACTTTGGGATTAAAGCCTGAACAATTAGAAACACCTATGAGTGTAGCTTCATCGCTAGGAGGTCAAACTCGAGTAGATCTCGTATGCAAATCATGTGAACTAGGAGTCTCTAGCTTACGTTTAACTTGCAACCTACGAGTCATGAAAATGTCAGATTTTGATGTTATCCTAGGAATGAACTGGTTATCAGCCCATAGAGCCACCATTGATTGCTATCGAAAGACGGTGGCTGCTTACTCCAAGGATGGAACGCGATTCCAATTTAAGGAGGATAAACAAGATTCCCTATCACTAACATTTGGAAAGTCAAAGTGGCATGATCACCTAGCTGGGTGGCTAGCCAGCTTAGTTCTGGAAGACAAAGATCGTATGGAACTAGGGCTACCTCGTGTGATGTACGAGTATATTGATGTGTTTCCAGAGGAGTTACCAGGACTACCCCCAAAACGGGAAGCGGACTTTACCAGTGAACTACAACCTAATACATCACCGATCTCAATGGCACCACATCGTATGGCACCAGCTGAATTGAGAAAGCTAAAGACACAGTTGCAAGAATTCTTGGACAAGGAATTTGTAAGGCCAAGCACGTCCCCGTGGGGAACACCAGCCTTATTTGCTAAAAAGAAAGATGAGACACTTAGGTTGTGCATTGATTACCGACAACTCAATAGAGTCACCATTAAGAATCGGTATCCACTACCTAGAATTGATGACCTTTTCGATCAGCTTAGAGGGGCAAAGTATTTCTCAAAGATATACCTCAGGTATGGGTATCACCAATTGCGTGTTCGGGAAGAAGATATTCTTAAGACCGCGTTTCGAACCTGTCACGGCCACTATGAATTCATAGTGATGCCATTCGGCCTAACCAATGCACCGGGCGTGTTCATGAGCTTAATGAACAAAATATTCACGCCTTACTTAGATCAATTTGTGGAAGTTTTCATAAATGATATTTTGGTGTACTCCAAGTCCGAAGGAGACCATGAACAACATTTGAGAATAGTACTTCAAACTTTGAGAAAGAACCAATAGTCTGCTAAGGCTAGTAAATGTGAGTTCTGGATGGGGGAAGTAAAGTTTTTGGGTCACATGGTATCTAAAAAGGGAATATCAGTAGACCCAACTAAAGTAGAAGCAGTGACAGAATGGAAGCAACCTAAGAACACATTTGAGATTCGTAGTTTCTTACTATCGAAGATTCATTCAAGACTTTTCAAAATTGGCCAAACCAATGACACATTTGACTCAAAAGGGGGTAAAGTTTGAATGGAACGAGTCTTGTGAAAATTCATTCCAAGAACTTAAGAAAAGATTGACGAGTGCCCCTATTCTCATAGTGCCAGAACGTGACGTTGGGTACAACGTGTATTGTGATGCTTCCAAAGAAGGTCTAGGGTGCGTATTGATGCAGAATGGCAAGGTGGTGGCATATGGATCAAGGAAATTAAAGAACCATGAAAAGAATTATCCCACCCATGACTTGGAGTTAGCAGCTATAGTTCACGCACTCAAAATTTGGAGACACTACCTGTATGGTGAAAAGTTTGAGATATTCACCGATCACAAAAGCTTGAAGTATCTGTTTACCCAAGGGATTTAAACATGCGTCAAAGACGTTGGATAGAGTATCTCAAGGATTATCAATTTACTCTTTCCTATCATCCCGACAAGGCTAACGTGGTGGCAGATGCCCTAAGTCGCAAGAATAGAGGGATTGTTGGTAGTTTAGCACTTAGAGAATGGAATATGGTTGGAACGCTCAATGAATTTGGGATAAAATTGGGGGTTCAAGATGAAGAGGCCTACCTTGGTGCTCAGATCGCTACGCCTAAAATTTCGAGCGAGATATTGGAATCACAAAAGTACAATCAGGAGGTAGCATTCATCAAGGCATAAATGGAATCTAGTGAAGCCATGCCTGGTTGGGAAATTCACACTGATAGGAGTCTGAAATATCAAGGTCAAATGTTCGTGCCAAGCGACAACTCACTAAGGGAAAATGTACTCAAGGAATTCCACCATTCAGTGTTAACAGTACATCCGGGAGGTACTAAGATGTACCAAGACTTAAAAAGCCAATATTGGTGGGGCGGAATGAAAAGGGATGTAGCAAAGTTTGTGTCTCAGCGCCTGACATGTCAAAAAGTAAAGGCTGAACATCAAAGGTCGGCAGGAACACTTCAACCCTTACCAATTCCGGAGTGGAAATGGGAGCACATAACCATGGATCTTGTGATGGGTTTGCCTCAGTCACCACAGGGACATGACGGCGTGTGGGTGGTGGTAGACCAATTAACTAAGACAGCCCGGTTCTTACCTGTCGGGTCATCAGATACGTTGGATTCACTCAGTGGATTGTGCATCAAAGAAGTGATCAGATTACACGGAGTGTCGGTTAGCATCGTGTCTGATCATGATCCTCGATTCACTTCTCAATTTTGGCAAAGCTTGCAGAAGGCAATGGGAACAAACCTATGCTTGAGCACAGCATTTCACCCACAAATCGATGGGCAGTCTGAAAGGACGATACAAACATTGGAGGATATGCTTCGAGCTTGCGTTATGGATTTTAAGGGAAGTTGGGAGAAACACCTACCTCTCGTTGAGTTCACTTACAACAATAGTTTCCAAGCAAGTATTGGAATGGCACCGTATGAAGCACTTTATGGGTGACCTTGTTGGTCACCAGTCTGTTGGACTGAAGTAGGGGAAGTAACCTTATTAGGACCAGACTTGGTTCAGGAGACCATTGAGAAGATAAAATTGATCAAACAACGGCTAACCACAACCCAAAGTCGACAAAAGAGCTATGCAGATCAAAGGAGACGACCCTTAACATTTGAAGTAGGGGATCATGTTTTTCTCAAAGTTCGACCTCGTCGAGGTGCTACACGATTTGGGAAGAAAGGGAAACTTGCACCTCGGTATGTGGGACCCTTCGAAATCCTGAGCAAAGTAGGAGAAGTGGCGTACCGTTTGGCTTTACCACCTCAACTGGCTGGAGTACATAATGTTTTTCACATCTCTATGCTACGGAAATACGAGCCACACCCTTCTCACATCATCAATTAAGAGGAAATTAATCTTGATGAAGATGAAGATGTGACATTTGAAGAGAAGCCTGTCAAGATTTTAAATCGTCGCAAGAAGAAATTATGAGGTAAAACCATACCATTGGTTCGAGTTATTTGGAGACATCGTGGGACGGAAGAGTCAACGTGGGAACGAGAAGATATGATACGTGCCAATTACCCTCAGCTTTTTTACTCTAAATGTACGAATTAATTTCGAGGACGAAATTTTTCTTTAGGAGGGTAGATTGTGAAAACCCCACATTTAATTATTCTTAAAAAAAATAATAATTAATTAATTAATTTTATCTACAGTCTATCTGAATTGTATATTAGTGTAAAAGGTAGTTTTAAATTGACTCAATTCAATCACTAAGAAAGACATTGTTAAGAATAATAATTTTGTGGGTATTCAATATTTGTTGTTTATAAATTATTTTAATTAGGATTCAATATGATAATTATTCTTACTAAATACCTTAGTTAAAAATCTTAGTGTATCAATTTTCAGAAACCCATACAAATATAAATAAAAATAAATAAATAAATAAAAAAAAGAGAATCAAACCTTTGCAGAAATTCGCTGGAGGCTTTCCATATGTTGGTTTGCATGCTTGTTTAGGGAAGAAGAGCTGATTATGCTCTTGGAATTGAGGAAAAGAGAACTTAGAATGAAGAGAAAGAAAGAAAGAGAAAGAGAGAGAGAGAGATATGTGCTCAACAAGCATTGTATATATATATGCATGCAAGTCTTCATTGTATATAGGTGTGCATGCAAGCATTCGGTGAAAAAAAAAGAGAGAGAGAAATCCCTGAAGCAACCAAGCTTAGTAATAGGAGAGGAAGAAGAGTAGGAGATTAAG